TGGTGTAGGACCTAGAGCTCTCAATTTAAGTTTGGGGACATGCTGTGCAGGATGGTCCTGCCCCTGTTGAGAACCTCCTGGCTTCAGTGCTGCAGCCCATAGGAACTAGGACTTTCTACCTGCATAGGATATGTCGAGATGTAAGTGATATGATGATGCCAAGGTCTGTGGTGATGCCAGCTGTACCTCTACAGACTGTTGGCTAGATCCAAAGTCAAAATACTCAGGAAACTGCATTTGAATCATTCACCAGCTTGTTTGCACATGTGTACAACATATTGCTTGGAGATTGGGTGCCATATGTGTAATAAGAGGGCAAAGCATGCCCTTTGCTACAGGTTGACCCGTTGCTCGTGTCCAATTAAGTGTCCTCATCACTTGACGCATGAATTATATCATCAAACGAGAAGAGATGCTGATGAGAGTCAGTTCACAAAGCAGGTGTTTGAGAAGGAGCTGTCAAAAATAAATTCATGGGACTTTATTCTGTCTTGTATGCCATCTTTGTTGTTGCTAATGACAAGCTGTCTCAGCAAAACAGTCTATGATGATAGGCAGTGCCAGGCACGTAGTTTTCATACAGGCTTGGGGATGGATCTTGCATTTTATTCTGCGCACGTCTTCCAAATAAAACAGAAAAGAGGCAACAGATTTGAGTACCTCATTGTACCAATTGTATGTCCATGAATCACTTTGTCAACCGCAGAAGTGAAGACATCTCGATGGCAAACTGTTGACAGTTGTTTAATAACACACAGTGGGCCTGAAGACTTTAGCAAGGGAAGTGGAAAAATACCTGGACAAAATAACCTTGTTGTGGACTTTTAGGGAAACAGAATGTAAATACTTAACTGAGAAATTAGCCAGGACTCTGAAACGGGCACAGAATTTGCATTGCAAAAGGGTAGGGTCTCTTTCTATAGCTGATGCCAAAAAGAGCATGTTCAGCAATTCAACCCCACCTCACTATGTTGAGCTCAGAACTGGGGAGACCTATTTGAGAGGTGTAGCAATACAGAGAGAAAGATCAGAATATTACACGGGGCAAATCAGGTGACCTTGAGAACTGGAGTAGTGGAAACGAGGTGAAATTTAACCACAGAAAGTGCAAGGTCATGTCTTTAGGAACAAATAATTAGAGTGTCTGCCATGAGCTAGGGACTCACCAGTTAAAAACAGTAGAGTAAGAAGGATGTCGTCATTGTGCTAAGAAATCCCAGGGGAAACAGGCAACACAGAGGTGGTGTGGCTCTCAGTCAGACTTTGCTTGGCATTTGACAGACCCTCAGCATTAAGCTGTAAGGTTTGGAGTGCAGGCCCAGTGGCATGAAAGCCGTAGGACTGCACAACGTCTGGGTTGTTAGTGGCAGTAACACCGGAAAAAGTTCTTGTTTAGTTGGTCTGATAAAAGATATCACGTCTACCCATAGAACCTTATGGCCTGGGACAGAAGTTCCTTAAACTGGTTTGACCTGAATCAGTTAAATCTGATACTACATTCAACTAGGTTTATTTTAAACCAGTTTCAGACATTTTGAAATCGTTTTTTGTGCACTGAGCTTCTGTTTTGTTACAGGTTTAAACCAGCTTGCGATCACTTAAACCGGTTTATGTGTAAGTTCTGTCCCTAGCCTATCTGCCTATGTCCTTAGACCAACACAGTTACAACCAACAGCCTTGAAAAGTTTTCAGTTCAGATAGCTAGGAGCATCTTTAGTCTTCCTGGTGCGGACCAGGTACCGACAATTGGCGTGAAATGAATGCTGATCCATTGCCAACAAGGGGTGGCTGTGAAAAGGGTAAATGGAATAGAAGGTGGATTCAGACTGGAACACGTGCAGCGAATGCCTGATAGGATGAGCAGAGAAATGGAGAGCTTATACAAGGAGACTTGAGAAGCTGAGGGGGTATGACTGGTGTCCATAAATATGCCGGGTGGGGGAGATATCCTCCAGGGAGGGAGAAGAACTCTTTGAGTGAAAGGACAATGATGGCGCAAGGACAAATGCATATAAACCAGCCAAACAAGGTCCTTTGGGTAGATGTGCTATCTTTTATTAGACCAACTAAAACGTTGGAATATTGTTCTTTGCAAGCTTTCGGGCACAAACACCCTTCTTCTCTATGCCTGGAGAATGTTGTTTGTGCCTGAAAGCTTGCAAAGAACAATTTTTTTTCCAACGTTTTAGTTGGTCTAATAAAAGAGATCACATCTACCCAAAGAACCTTGTCTGTCTGATGTCCGTACACCAACACAGCTACAACCAATAACCCTATAAAGCAGCCAGGAATAAATTCATCTGGGAAGTAAGGAGATGGCTTCTAATAATCTGAGCAGCAAGAATCCAAAGCAACTATTTAAGCAGGAATAGCAGGGGAAACGCAGCTGGTTTGAAGATGGGCTCCATTCAGCTGAGAAGCGTTGATGGCAGGCTATGGTTGCCTGCGGAAAAGAGGAACAGGACTGAGAAGTCCTGACCTGGGAAGTCCCTTCTAATGCTTTGTCTGATGATCTGTTTGCATTGACAGGAGAGAGAGAGAGCTCGCTGTTGAATCGCCTCGCCTGCCCATCACATATTGCATTGCTTTTATTTCAACAGAGAGCCTTTGGGCAGGGGGCTGGACTCAATGATCTTCCAAGGTCCCTTCCAGCCCTAATGTCTATGAAACCAGGAGGGAGTAGGGTAGCAAAGGGCTTTTATAAGCCAGTAATGGTGAAAAGAGAATAAATTAAACTTAAATTATAAAAACCAGTTAGTTTTATATCACTGCAGCATCATCTCGTTCACCCTGTTTCTTTCTTGCATGCCGTCTGGTTCCCTTGGGTCATTGCTGGTTGCTGTTGCAAAAGCTCGGGGTGAGATGAAGCCGGGGTGATGCTGCAGCACTACATTTCATCCCACCAATTCGGCAACATTTTTATGCAGTGGAAGGTGGATAAAAATCTGCATTTGGGTCATTTTGGAAATGAAAATAAACTTTTTGCACAGGAAGCCCGGGTGTGGTGCACTGCTTCAGTTCCTCGTACGCTCTCCATTACCTCTAGTAATTGAATTGCCGGTAGAATATAGCACAAATGCATGTTCCCTTGCTTTGTGGGGGAAAATATCATTTTGGGCATGAGCCTTTTGTTGGGAAGGGCAAAGGGTAAAGACCTGCAGTCATAAACAAAGCAGCCTGAATTTTAAACTGTTATGAGGAAAAATATGAATTTGTCTACGTTGCACCTGCTAATAAATCATTGTAATCATATATGAGATAAAGGCAGTTTTAAGTTGGGTTTTGTCAGCTGTCGTATCCTTTTTTTTTCCCCATTTTTCTTCTTTACTAGGCACTAGCAGTGTCATTGCCTTGTTTGATTCCTGCTCCCTTTTCAGTTTCTTGGATTATATTTGAATCTCTGTTGAGCTTTTTAAATACAGTATTACAATTTTATGCCGTATGAAATAAGCAATAATTATTTCATTAGTATTGAGGAATCAGCTAGGTGCTGCGTGTTCATAATCAACAGGAAACTAAAAACCGCAAAGCAGAACGAATTAAACAAAAGCGCTCTTTGGCGATTTGCTGATATGAAACAAAATTGCAGCTCTTAGGCTGATATAGCATTGACACATGCCTTTAACATACTGCTCTGTAGTCCCGTATCAAACGGAAAGCGTGCGCCTGATTGCCCACAGAATCCAGGCTTCACTCAGGTAACGGCGGGTTTTAATTTTTGTGCCGTGCTGCTGCTTTTAAAAGGCAAACGAGCATGTCACTTTTTTAATTAGCTCATCCGTTCACTGTATACCCCATTGAAATTAGCTGCTGATCCTTTCAAATAAAAAGTTTGCTATTAAGAATCAGTGCACGTCGGGGGAAGTTTCCAAAGGCACGCAAGGTCACTTGAATACCCAGTTCCCGCTGCCTGCCTGTCCTTTGTGCCTTGGGGAGATCTCCCCCTTTGCAGTTATCAATTCACGTTTTCTCTCAGCCTCTCAAAACACTTCGCGCAGTCCTTCAAAGCTTCTGAAGAGGCTAAAGGCAATTGCATGGCAAGAGAGAGAGAGCGCTAGAGAGGCAACAGCTCAGCTCACAGGAGGCAAGGGTAATACCAGGGATACACCCACCCATCTGCCTCTGAGCATCCAGTCTTGTGATATGCTTTCAAATTGTAGAGCCAAGCCATAACCAAATGCACCTAGCAAATCATTTTTCACTCAGGCAAACGGAGACTCTCCAGAAGAACTGTACAGAGAAAGTTGCACGTTGCTACTAAAGTGCCACTGTTGATTTGAGTGCATTTTTTTGGAACTTTTCAAAGGAAAATAACATACAAAACCTGGTGAGAGCATGGGGGAGACCATAGACTGAATGAGAGAGAAGAAGAACAGTTATGGGTGTCTTTTTTTTCCCCTCAACTTCCTTCCCAGCACTAGACACTTAGTGCACCTGTATATACCATGGGGTTTAAGCCTTATTAAATTAAATAGGTTTACACCATTTAAACTTATTTTGGAGCATCGCATCAGAGTTTGCATGCACTTGGTTTTCAAACAAATCAAACCCGGTCCCCAGGCAGCACCGCAGGAGAATGGCACACAGATATAAGGGAGCAAGAGGGCGTCATATTGAGTTAAGCTGTTCAAATAGAAGTTGAACCGTCCCATAAACGATAGTGGTCTGACCCATCTGAGATTGGCAATCTGTTCCAAAGAGGAAATGTAATCCTGATGTTAGCCTTTTTGTGATTAAACCAAAGAGGACGGAGAAACTTTGTGCGATACTTGATTTTTTTTTTTGCTCAGTAGTTGGATTTCATTCAGTAAATGTGCATGTGATCATGAATGTGGCTATGATTATTAAGACGTGCCAGTGACCGGTTTTGCCAGCCACATGCTGGGCATTTGCCAAGCAAAGGAAGCACCGCATGTCCGAAAACTGAGATGGAGCAGAGGAAAAAGGATGCGACAGTGAAGTAACAGGGGCTTTTCCCTTTTTCTTTTCATTTGCTACAGACTGTTCCCAAGCCCATCGCACTGGAGCCTTGCTTCGGTAACAAAGCAGCAGTTCTCTCCGTATTCGTTAGGTTGCCTCGAGGCCTAGGAGGTATACCACCGCCTGGACAGTCAGGTGAGCAATAGTCTTGTGCTTTGATATCCAACTGAGCCATCTAGGTTACGGGGTTGGCAAGCTATAGCCCATGGGCCGGATCGGGTTTTGGTACCGTTGCATCTGGGCTGCACAGATGGAGGGCTTTGGCATCGTTCAAACCTCAGGAGAAACCATGGCAGCAGGTAGGTCCTATCACTGGCCTGCCTCAGACCTAAGCCATGTCATTCCTGCCCACTGCTTCAAAAAAAATAAAATAAAAGAAGTTGTAGGCCATTGGTTGGGTATTTATGCTCTTCCCATTGCCATGATGTTGGTACATCTCACAGATTTATTCAGGATCACGCATACAGGTCTCTTTCAGTGGAAATAGCTTTTATGAAGAAGATCATCTAGCAAGATCATCCATGCCAGGTAGACGTACCCAAACTGGCTCACCTGACCACCGCTAGCTAATGACCTGAATACATACATAGCTTCTCAGGCAGATTTGGAGCCCTTCTACCGTGGCTACATGACATAATTGGGCCCCTGCCAAACCATAAGCTGCATATCCCAGGCAGTTTCTCCTACCGTATTGTCTCGCTTACAACATGTCCCCAAATACGCACTTTGTTTTTAGAAGGCGGAACAATGGGAAAATATTTTTCTTTGAAAATATTGCTAAATATGGTATTTCCCCCAAGGAAAATACAGGCAGCTGCAGGGGGGAGCAAAACACAGTGGCTATTCTGTTTAACCCCCTAGCTGCTGGTTGTTGCAGGTGCCGTTGACTGAGCCAAACTCCCTGGCCCCTCTTCTTTGTGCTGGGGAGACAGCCAGCGTTTACAGCACAAGCTTCTGGTAGGGGAAAAGAGAAAGTGTCCACATCAGGTAGGGAGGGAGCCTCGCACATTGTTTGCTGCCTCCTCATGTCACATCCAGCATTACTTTCTCTTTCCCATGGCAGATCCTCGTGCTGCAGAAGCTGCTGTTACCATATTTTTTTGCTTGTATAATGTACCACCCAGTTCCAGCAGCTGCCTCCCATTACATATGTCACGCCACTAACTGGTTAATCGCGCAAAAAGTTTAGACCAGCTACACGTGCGAATAATTATCGCACAATTAACTGGTTAGTCGCACAATACATTTAGGCAGGCCACACATGCAACGTAATTATCATACTGTAAAAGTGTCCGTCCAGCTAGAAAAAGAACCAACCAGCTACAAAGTTGGTTCTTGATATGGTATAACAGCTTTGTAGCTGGTTTCTACCCAGCTTTGATTTGAACCTGTAGTGGGACCCTTAGTGAAAGGTGTGCTACATGCAATAAAATACGGTAGTAGCAAAAACGCTAGGCCTGCCCTCTGGCTGCGTCCACGCGTGTGTGGACATTTGGTTCCCCGAGGACAGCTAGCGGCAGCGCACCTTGTGCCGTCCCTCGTTGTGAAGCAAGCACGCGACAGGCAATCTTAGGTGAAAGTCTAGAGCAACCCATGACAGTATCTTTCTTTGTTTTTCCCCTTCCGGCACACGTTAGTGCTTTTAGGAAATCACTGTTCTCCCGTGTGATGACTTGCTCTGAATAAAAGCAGTTTCTGTGAACATCAGGGCTTTTATATCCATTAATACCATGTTTTATATTTTTACCTTTGGTGGTGAGAAGGAAGCAATCGCACTGAATAAAACACATGCTGTTTAAAAGCAGCTTCCTTCTGAATACATACACCCTGCCAGTCGAATGCTTCTTACCTCTGAAGGAGACATTGCTTTTTGGGGGGGACACTTTTTCTGCCCCTGCAGCCAGAGCCTTGTGCTTCTCTAACCATGACCTTTACTCTTTTAGGTCTTGCAGTAGCCAGTGCTCTGGTGGACATTTCACAGCAAATGCCAATTGCCTACAAAGAGAAATCAGGAGCAGTACGAAATCGGAAACAGCAACTCCCCGCACAGCCAGGAACCTGTATTTGATGCATGGACATCAGAAACTGCTATCTAGGGTTTTAAAAAACAAAACACAACAACACCAAGTGGAAGTGGAAGAGGAGAAGCAGCAGCAGCGGGAGAGAGATTTTACTGTTGTGATACGAGAGACTAGAAGCACTTGGGAAAACGCAACTTCCTTGGACCCAACCTTTTTGTTTCTCACCCACATCGATAGTTGGCTTTGTTCGATGACCGCTCCACTTAAGTTTTATTGACCCCATGGCTCCTGATTTGCTCCTCTTGTTTCAGGTTCAAACGAAATTTAATTTTATTGCAGGTTGAGCAATATCATCTCGCCGCCGTTGACGTTTAGTGTAAATACGACAGCAGTACAAAACGAACGACACTCAGGTTTATACATGGAAAGTGCTTTGCCGTACATGTATTTATCGAACTGTACAAAAAAAAACCCCCAACAAACTGATGCGGTGTTTACAGGTGTCAGCCCTCAGCACGTGAGCACGATGTTAAACTTCAAAGCATCTTCACCATTGTTTTTGCATTTAAGATGGAGTGATTGGAATGATCTCTGTTTATTCCCATATTGTTTAGGTGGAGCTCTGCAAGTCGTGCTTTTTCTCTGTAGCTGTTCATAGTTTGTATAGCCTCGAGGTTGGAAAGAACGAGGGTAGTGGAAAGACCAAATCTTGTACATTGCTAGGGCTTTCAAATGCAGTCTTTGCAGAAGCTAAATGTTGTTCTCAAAGGAGCCGGTGTTTACAAAGTCTTAACCCAGTCCATTCAGACACGCACGCGTGCGCCCACACACACAAGTGCCTAGACTAAACAGATCTAGGAAGTGAGGGGATTAGTACACACAAGCTCAGCACAATTGCGTTCCTTTGTTCCTACGCAGAATCGGGCACCGGAGGCAGTTTGTGCCCTGTGTAAGAGATCTTTGCAGTCAGAGGGGATAAGTTTCCCAACCAGGCAGCAGAGTCTGGAAGGCAGTCGAATCGAGTCCCACCGTCTCCTGGAAACGCTGAGGTTTCCGCTCGTTGTTGCACATGGAGGTGGTGTGTACTTTGCATCTGCTACACAACCATTACTTGATGCTACCTTTAGTGTCCCTCCTGTGTCCATTGTTGGTTTCCTGTGCTCTTCTAGAGGAGGACCAGACTCTACCAGGAACCTCAAGTACTACCGTTCATCAAAGGAACATGTGTCGCCTCTTTAAAGAATGGGTGTAAAGAGTAGCACGCTTTAGGCCCTGCTAGTTTCCAGACTGAGAGACAGCTTTATTAATGAGCACCTCTATTTGGCTTGTGTTTGAATGTTCAAGCTAGGACCTCCCATCAACCTTCAGGTCCTTGACTTGAGCGTAGGGGAAAGAAAGACTGATCAGTGAAGGAGACAGCTTGATGTATGATGAAAATACACCATTAAGATCTGCATCTCTTCATGCTTGATCTTCAAAATGGTGATAATAAAGTTATTAGATTTGAAATTTGAACCTACCTACTAGCTGGAATCTAGTGTAAGAATAAGTCCAGATCCCCCTCCATGTCCCTGGTGGCTTTTCACGCGAGACCCGCCCAGGAACGAACAGCGGTGGCGTGACCGCATGACCTCTCCGAGCCAACAGCGTGATGTGAATGCTGACACTAAATCGAGGTGCCAAACAAGATGTAGCTACTCCGTAATCGTGGCACGATTGAGTTTCATTCAGGCCACCAGGTTGGAGGTTGTTTTGGAGGCTGGTGCCAGGGGAGGGGAGACTTCATTATCTTTTATTAAAGGAAAAACAGCAAATTGAATAGCATGCAAACTGCCAAGCAACTACTGAATGCTGTTTGCCATTAAGGCCTGTTTCCCATGATAAAAATGAAGCAACTACACCCCCCCCCCCCTTCCACAACCCTTTTGTGTTTTTTGCAATTTACAGCCTACCCATCTTTAAAAAAAAAAATCCATTAAGGAAAACCTCACGTGTGATGTGTGGCACTGCCTCTTGGAACAGGCGGGGGGGGAAAAGGTCATTTTTAAAACCATTAGTCTATAATTGGTGGTAAAGGTCATTTTTAAAACCATTAGTCTATAATCCCGCAAACGAAAACTGGAATGAATCTTCCAACGCAAGCAGCAGAACGGTGGAAAATTTCATATTGAAAATGCATCTATTTTTTTCCCCCCTTAATCAGTTTCCAAAACTGCAAATTAAATGTCCCGGGGAAGGGGGGGGGACTCTGAAGTGAAGGTTTTTAGTCGATTTAAACATTAGATGATGCACAGATTACCTCAGCCAGATTCATCTCCTGAAACGATCTTGTTAGGTCCCCCGTGCGTAGAGCTAACCTGGATTAGATCACGCCAGAGAAATAACACGAGACGAAAATGTCTCCCCTTGCCAGCCCCCAGGTGGAAGGCACGTCTAGTGTACAGAAAACCCGCGTCTTACCTTGCTTTGAAATAATAATTTAAAAAAACCACTACGTACAATTTTGGAAAGCGCCCGACTTTGGACTGAAGTCCATTTGATTCGGGACAACACAAACGCATGCACTTTTAAAGATACTGCCTGTTTTCCTGAAAGGGGATGGCTTTCTGAATGCAGATCATTCACTGTAATTAATTTTTACATTAAAAAGATATTCAAAGCTCTTTCTGTTCCCACAGAGAGTGTCTGACACACTAAGATTGTTCTTTCTTAATTGCTTAGAAATAAAGTGAACCCACATCCCTCGTCACAAAGGAGCGCAGAGTCCAGGTGCTTAAAAACAGGGAAGACACGCAATGGAGATCAAAAGCTTATTTTTTACAGAGCCAAAACCTGTAAATAAATGAGTGACACTTTTTTTTTTTTATATACAAAAAATAAAAAATAAAACGATGCTTTAGGGTACAGCCCGGCTGTATCTTATTTCCATGCCGATGACAGAAAAAGAGAATACACATATCTCTGCTGTGAAAAGTTGCCTCCCAGCTTAAATGAAAAATATTAAGGGTGGATTGGATGAAGCGAGCAAAGCTAATTGCTGGTATTTCCTCACTAGGCCAGTGTCAAACATGAATGTTTCCCACTTCTATTTCGTAGGGGCGGGGGGACAATATATACCCTTATTTCACAGGAGAATCTGTAAATAAATGAAAAATAACACACAGATTTTGCACTTGTACATAAACTATACAGCAGTGTGCAGGACATTGAGAGCTTTGAAGTGTACATAAAACAGAAAAAAAAAGTATTTAATGTATTTTTGATGCATTTTAAAAGATGTCTGAGTTTTGTCTTAATAACTTCTTCATAAAATGAGTGTTAGATAACTTTCCAGAGCTTTAAAAAGTCATCCAATTAAATTCCTGAGATCTTGCAATATAAAGCAGGGAGACATAACTTGACACTTTTATGTATTTAAATGCATTTCACTTAAGTGAGATAAGCAAAATTGCTTGAAATATGGCTCTTCCATTTTCAAAAAACCACGCAGACTTTGAAACAGGTAATAAATATACTTAAAGCGGCCGTTTCGTACGAGATTAAGTCAGTGGTGCTGTTCGAGCCCCCGTCATTAAGAAGATGGTGCCAGCGATTCCATTCGAAATCGCCGCTTTCAAGCGTGTATAACTGGTTGAAATTCAGCACGCGAGCTCTGAGGCCAAGCATCGGTTTTATTCTTGGAAACTAGTTTTGAACGGGAAACGTTGCAGCTCTCTCGGTTCTGAACAGCGCATCGGTGCCGCTCGCTTTCTAAAATAATAATCAGAGCCTCGTTTTGCTCACTAATGTCCTTTTTTTTTTCCCCTCACCCAGAATTTTATCTGGATGTTTTCTTTCACGTTTATGATAGGCAAACACTACAGTCATTTTGCTTAGCAACTTGTATAGGGGCAAGGGTGATGGGTATGTCTTTTTAGAGCCGTTGGAGCCTTTAGGGGCAAAAATGTACCGTTTTAAACGCCGACATCCGACTTTGTGCAATGGGATGGCGGCGCCCGTGATGGACCAGAGTTCTGGATACGTAGCGTCCCAAAATAACAGTACAGTCAAAGAGTGATGAGAGCAAAAGGCGCTTTTTGCCAGATAGCCACTTCCTTAAAGCTGGCATACATACCAAGCGCGTCCGGGTGGGTTGCGTACGTCGTTTTCTTTCTGGTCAGCGCAAACCAGCCAAAAAGTTATAAAATGCTTTTTAAAAGGGCCGTTCATTGAGGCCCATCCTCAATTAGCTTTAACGAGCCTCCTGTGAAATGCGCGCTCGGCCACGAGACGGGAAGCAAGCCTCAGGATCTCCCCACGAGCCAACACAAGCCCACTACATCTCGAAGGCAGGGCCGATTCTCGGTCTTGAACAGACAGGAACGCTAGCTTTTTTTCTTTCTTTTCCTTTTTCACAGAAGCCAAAGTTAAGGATTCAGGGTCAACAGCCTCTGAATCGGCTGACTTTTTGGCGGGCGAACCCTTAAAAATATTTTAAGCTACAACGATGAATGCGCCGGCGCCTCGCCCGAAGGAAACAACGGCTACTACGTGCCGGGGCGACACTTCAATGAAGCCGTCTGAGTTTACAAGCTAACGGTCATTGGGAAATTTTGTTTTTCTTTTTTTCAGAGGAAATCTTCTTGTGGGGAACGCTACCGTTTTTCTTACAGGACGCTCCTCTGCGAATCTGCAAGAGCCGATTCCGCGAAGAAACGTGCATGTTTTAAATGCAAAGGTGCCACTTAGGTGTTTGTTTAAAGATGTTCACAAGAGTTTGGGGGGGTGGGAGGAAACGGGACGGGAGGTTGAAGAGATGCTCTTACTTTGCTGACACACTGTAGATAATTTTAGTCGACACCTCGCATTCTGCTGTAATTGCTTTCAACGCAATACGTTGCCTACGCGCTAGTGTCATGCCTACGGTGACGCACAACACTGGGTTTTTTCCTGCTTCGGGATCAGGACTGTTTTTGCCCAATTTACCGTGTCTTTCTAAATCTGTACAAACTACCTTTGGGTGTCTTCCAGGTACTGAAGTCCTTTAAATACTTCTCCCCTGTCCGCCTGCCCCACAGCCCTCTCCATGGGGGAAAAAAACCAGTGCTGTGTGGAGAGGATCGTAAAATACATTGGTCTATTTAAAAAACAGAAAAATAGGTTTTATATTCCTCTTAAACCCATGCATAATAAATGTTCTTTACACTAGGATCCTCAAACTAATTCTGTCTCTGGCATTTTTTTTTTTGGTTTTGTTCTGTAATTATTTACAATTCTTGTGTTCAGACTTGAGCTTAGTTTGTTAATATGTATAATTTAGCATTTCTTGCATTCATATGTAAATACTGAGTAAGTATTGTAAACTATTTCATGGCTGGGGATTGTGGGTGTTATACATACACACATTTAGGACTGCAGTTTTTGGTATAATTTTTTGTATTGTAAAATAACAGCTAATTTAAGCAGGAACAAGAGAATTATTGGGAGGTCTGTGCATTTTAAACCCAAATGTGAAGTACGTGTATATAAATAAAGTAAATAATGCAAAATTTTCCTCTGAAATAAAAAGTTAGATGATCTGGTTAAAAAAAGAAAAAGGCTTTCCTTTTTTTTTTGTCCCCTCCCCCCGATTCCAGCTGTTTCTGTTCCAGTTAAACTGAATCACAAAGCGGAGCACGGTGGCATTCGCCAGGAGATGCTGGACTTGCGGGCAGAGAGTAGTACCAGTTCCTCTGGGTCCGTACACGGTGAGTAGTTTCAGTGCTCCATTTTCACTCCAAATAGGTGATGCAACTACTTTATTCCAGCCTTTCCTCGTGTCTGGAGCAAATGAACAGCAAGCCGCCATTCACCGTCCTCCCTGCGGTTTCTGCAGACTTGGCAGACTCTCCAGCTGGATCCTGTCCGTCTAGATCCTGGCCACCTAGGTCCTCCTGTACTTTCTGCAGACTTAGACTCTCCAGCTGGAAGAAGACCTCTGGGAAGGGAGGAAACCTTTGGACATTTCCCTCAACTGAAGCTCATGGGGCGGCAGGAAGGGCTGCTGAGCGAGGAGGCCCTGAAGATTTGGCAGGTAAGAGCAAACCTTTCAGATGGAGTCCAGAGCCGTCTTATGAGGACAAGGCCCGCTGTTCGCTGCTGCAAATCCCTTCTACCTGGTGCTCCGTGTCCTACAGAAACCTTGATATAACTTATCTGCTCCTCCCGAGTAGCAGCTCAGCAGTAGCCTGGAGTGGGATCTAGATGGACGTGATGCTGTTCTGAGCGGTGTTGCCTCTTGCCTGGACCTTCATGGAGGAGGATGGTACATCAAACTAGCCCATGCCCTGATCCACTGTAAATTGTTCAAGAGAGACTAGAAAGAGGGGAGCATTGCTTTGTGGGTAGCTCCCCACTGCAATTCCAATTCTGGTGCAACAAGCTCCTTCCAACACACAAAAAGCTAGTGGACCGGGTTATGGCCTCACGTTCCTGATTTATTTGGATCGTTATTTCTTATTGCCTTCCCCAAACTCCACCGGTTTTCTGAACGTTACTGCAATTGCATGCACGTCCTCTGCTTTAGTAGGATTGAAGTACTGTAGCCATGATGGTCGAGGAAAGATGTGAGAGGCAAGGGGTTTTAGGTGATGTTATATTAGGCCAACTACGTAGGAGGGATGTTGGACTAGCTTTTGGAGGAAGGGCACACTGCAGCCAAAAACTTGTCCAACGGCTCTCTCAACAATACAGTAGGTCCAGTAAAAGGTATCGCCACAAAACCCTTGCTTCTCCCATCCATCCTCTGCTTTTTCGTTATAAGACTTCATTGATGAGTTGGAAAGAATTGGGAGCGTGGAAGATGCCAGCAATTTGCATCATCCTCGGTCAGGTGATCGGTTTGTTACTTCACAATTTTTTTCCCCCGGATTTGGGGGTTAAAAGGATTAAGAAAATATGAAAACTTCAGTCCTTACCCTGCTAACTCTGGTCACTATTTTTCTCTGGCTGCTTTCAAGCAAATCAGAAATTCCTGGAGATCAATAGATTGTGTGATCACCCTGGTCGCCTTTAAAGGGCCAGCTCAACTAAAGAGTCCAC